CGTCTCCTCTTCTTCTCTTTATGCTGAATAATTATTGATCATTTGTTTACAATAATATTAATACAATGATGTAACGGAGCCCTTTTCTATCATTAACTGATGATTATGGATATTTATATTCAATAATAATAACAGTAGAGAACAGCTGATAACGTTTGTGTAAAACCAGAGATTATATTTTTAATAACTTTATACAGTTCTCTTTAGTATTTCTATTCATATTTTAAACATACAGACTTAATTAAACTTAATAGGCTTCCTTTCTGTCCAAGTCACGACGAGGTAGTTTATCAGAGGATATCTTCAATATCAATTCAAAATGTCTCATGAAAAAAACTTCATAAGTTCACTGAAATGTAATTTAAAATAAGTTTTTCTTTCCTATAATCTTCATTATTATAATAGTATTTTAAAACATGTATTTACACGTCACAGGCTTTAACTGGTATTTACAGTATAATACTGTCACAGCTGCCACTTTACAATAATTAACAGTAAAATTATACAGTTCACTTACTGTGAATGTCATTTAACTAGTAGCCAGTAATTTACTGTAAAAATACAGTCAAATATTTAACGGTGTTAAATCAGACACACAGTCGCGTTCTTGAACGCAGCTGATACATATATCAGTGATTAGTTAGAAGCTTTACTGTAAGACAGTGGGCGGAGGTCAGATGGTTCAGAAACACTGTGATCGAGGCTCCAAACCAGAACTACTGGGAGGATCAGTGTGGACCAGGAGGACTCCCGGTTCTTAGAACGGAGGGTTTCATGTGGTTCTGGGTGAGTTCACAGATCTGCTCAATCTGCTTTCTGTCCCAGTGACTTATTTTATTCTGCATCGTGTCGTCTCTAGTTTCCTCTTTGTCTCTGTGAAACGTGTGTTTATATATTTTAGTGGGTTCTGGACCCGAGGATGGAGACGATGGGACTCTGCTGCAGCTGCAGTGAGTTCATGTGGCCACACGGGGGCGCCGTCCTCCTGCTGCAGGACTGAGCCTCAGTCAGAACCAGAAACCTCTCAGAGAAATAACCTTTTAGATAAATTGGTACTTTATTGATCACTGGGGGGATTTAAGGCGTACCAGCAGCTCACATCTCAAACAGCAGGCATAAGGTGACAGTATTTATACTATAAGTAGACATCTATAAATAAATAAATAGAGATCTGGCACAAATATATTCAATATATGTATTTAATTATTATTATTTTTTAAATATATTTATTGGCATTTTGTTTTTTACTAAATTAAGAGAATGTAACATATCCCCCACTGACCCCTCGCTCCATATATCCATATAATATTCACACACACCTTCCCAGAATAAGGTCTATTAATAATAACAATAAAGTAATTAATTTATACAAATAACTGAAACTTAATGATCTGTTAGGGTCACATTGAATGAAAAATAAATGTAAGATTTATTGATCGCACATTGGGGGAAGTTCACAGCAGCTCCAGAAACAACACAACAGATCAGAAAATACACGTTAAATAAAAATAAAGAGTTATATTATGTACAGATGTGACTAATATGGATCATTCACAGGTCACAGCAGGAGGTGGTGACACAGTGTGGAAATACATATAAAGATAAAATATAAACAGTACAGGTTTAACAGCTATGAATATATAATTTAATATAGAAAGAGCTTGTTTAAGAAGTGTGTATAAAATAAAATGTGCATATATAACAATGAGTTTGTAGGATGTAGAAACGGAGGTAAACAAGGTATTCATTTCTAATTCCACCGTTATAATTTATTTGAGTTCAAATATTTTCATCTGACGTTTTTGTTCCAAGCAAATATCGACACGTGTGATGGTTTAAATCCACCTGGCGCTGAGACCTTTACGGTGAAGGTTCGGGAGTCCTCTGGGAGGTGAGCGGGTCAGAAATTCACAAAGTAACAAACAGCAAATTACAGATGAATAATGTAGAAGTGAGGAAGATGTTTGAGATCTGAATTGATCTGAGAGTGTCAGTAAAGGTCAGAGTCTGCAGACAAACATGTTATAAAAGTCTGAAAACTGCAGGAGTCCAACTTTTATCTGTTAGTTTGCTCTTTTATTCTTTATTAGACTCTTATTATTGTTTTCTTACATTATATTTATTCAGTTTCAGATACATTGAAGCAGCTCTAAATTAAATCTGATTTTTTTGTGATATGAGTTCAAATAAAACCGTCTTCACTTATTCTGTTTGTTCATTTGTTGAGTTTCATTTGGAGTTGAGAAGAAGAGAAAACAAAAGACACAGAGGGAAAAAAGAGGAGGCTGAGGAAGAAGAAGATAAAGAAGAGAGAAATATAAGTTAAAATAAAACTAAGGTTTTGCCTTAAATTTACATATCACACTATAAATAATAATAATATTAATAATAATAACAGTCGATTCAATATATATAATATACAAATATAAAATAAGAGTAAACATCTGTACATTATATTACAGTATATCATTATATATATATATATATATATAGAAAATAGAAAATAAAGACATTCAAAGTGAGTTCAGTGATTGAAGTAAGTTTTACAGTATATTCATTTTACAATTATATTGGAGGAAGAAAAGCAGAAATAATTATTTAAAAACATAAACTTATTTGGGTTTAAGAATATTGAAAGGGTGCCCGGTTAGCTCAGTCGGTAGAGTTGGTGATCCATGTACGGACTTGCTGCAGTGGCCCGGGTTCAAATCCGACCTGCAGCCCTTTGCTGCGTGTCATCCCCACTCTCTTTACCCCCCCTCTTGTCTATCTTCAGCTGTCTCTATCAATAAACACAATAAAAGGCCCAAAAAATAACTTAAAAAACAAAGAATATTTAAAGATCCCCTCCAGACATGTATTAAGACATATGTACAAATATAAAACAATATAATTCTACAAATTAAAACCCTTAAAAAGTCTCATTAGATATGACAGAATCTATGAATATGGAAAAAAACATTTCTTCTCATTTCTAAAGTTTTTAACTGGAGAGACTTTAAATATTTATTTGATAACTAAACTAAAATCAACTAATCTTCTTCTTCTACCAGGTGGTGAAACAGCGCCCCCTCTGGTTCTAATGCAGGTAAATGAGTCTGAGTGTGTGGTGAGAAGAGGTCATTACACTCTGACAGCAGAACAGCTGAATTTAATCACTAATCAACTAAATCAGGTCCAACAGCGAGTTTACACTGAAACTGAAGGGAAACCAGTCGACCTCAAATTAAATAAACTTCATTTAAATTTAACAACAGGCATAGTTTTACAGTGGGACTCTTTACAGGATCTGATATGGACCAGTCCACCTCCAGGAAGAGAGACTTCAGATAACGTGAGTTAAATACACCCTGTCTGTCTGTCTGTCTGTCTGTCTGTCTGTCTGTCTGCTGGTGTATTTGTACTGTGGCTTGTTTGTCTGATTTACTTGAAACACTGTAAAAATACTGTTACAAGCAAAAGTGTATTAAAAATGTAACTTTAGTAAAGGTATAATGAGTAAAATGTATTAGTTTTAACCAGTTGTACTATTATTGATTATAATTATATGATATCATTAGGTTATTCTGTCTCATGCATTAAAGCTGCAGTAGGTAACTTTTATAAAACTAACTAACTTTTTGTCCTATGTTCTGAAACTTTATCCTGACAGTAGAACATGAGACATATGTGTGAAAAGATCCGGTTCCTCTGGTTCCTCGTAGTGTCGATAATGGATGAGAGCAGCCAGAACGACCACACCCCCTTTTGGATGAAACAAGCGCTGTAAACTTAAATTTTACACATCAAACTATTAAAAAAAACTTGGTTCATGATCAATTGTCTTTAGAACATAAAGCCTGTCAAACATTTTGCAGAATTCAAAATAAATTGTTTTATTTCCACTAAAGTTTCACTATCAGAAGAAAACATATTAATATAAATTTTGCATTATGAGCTGATAATTTATCGTTTATTCCTAAAATATTCGTGAAGTTGGAACCATGAAATGTTTTAACATGAAAAATTATTGATTTCCATGTTTGTGGCTACGTTTGTAGTATTTCCTCACTCTTGTTTGAAGCTGTAAGTAGAAGTAGAACATTGTTAGCTTTGAGTGTGAAGACAGAGCAGTGTGTGAGTCGTGTATTAGATACACGCAGAAGTATAAGCTGTAGTACTGCATTATATATTATAATATATGTGTGTGTGTGTATATATATAAATATATATATGAGAAAAGAGGGAGAGGAGAAGCTTAACAGGACGAGTGTCAATCCATCCTGAGAGAGCTGTCAGTCCGACTGAGAGGAAAACAGAACGAGTGTGAGAACGAACGACAGAACTGCTGCTGCGGCATGAATATTCATCAACCGCTGAGAGTTCCCAGAGTGTGTGAGTGTGTGTGTGAGTGTGTGAGTGTGTGTACCTATCCAACAGTGGACCTCGGTTTCCTTCACCGAGAACGACAAGCCAACAGGGGACATACTGGAGGTCCACTGTTGGTCGTACTTTAAATCCTGCTAACATCAGATCTAAAAGGCGTCTGTGGTGAATTTATTTTAATTCTAGCCAACAGGAGACCTGCAGGTGTGTGAGTGTTAATGTTCACACTCAGCACTGCCCCCTACAGGCAGGAGCAGGGACTTTAATCACTCATTAACACAAACGCTATATAAGGGCAGGTGGTGCCAAGAGTTGGAGAGAAGCCAACAAAAATCAACAAAAATGGATGGATGAAAAAAACTACATAAATATATCTACGATATGGAAATATTGATGACATATGATGCAAAATTTATGTTTAAGCGACACATTTATGTGAAGAACTTCAGCAGTATAGTTGAATAATCCATGTACGTGTAAAATAAACTTAAAGTAAACTTTGATTTTCCAGCGTAGAGAAAAACCAGCTAGTGTCAGCAGCAATAACAGTAACAGTATCACTGCAGTCGAACACAACAGATCTCCAAAGTTATAGTTTTAATAGGGATCAGTGGACCAATAATGTGTCTTTAGCC